GATGCAGCTAGCAATTCAGAGATAATCATGTTACCAAGATGCCATTTAATCTGTGCTTGGCATATCACAAGTTTTCATCTTCATTAATAGAGCTATCAAAGTTTGATTGTGCTGATTGTTATAGGGCACATAGTATTCACCCAGAGGGGGGTTTGCCGTCCGCATGGAGAGACTCTGCTTGCCAGATGGCAGCTGTTAATCTGCTTGTATCACAGGGTGGGGGGGCTAAACTCACCTGGCCGCTAGCCAATGGGGCCATCCCTCACCTCTGATCACACATGGCCAAGGCGCAGCCACGGGGGAACCTTAGTCCCCCACTCCCTGCATGCCTCAAGGCACCTGGGGGCATGGATGTTGATGAAGGGTGGGGCTTCTTTTTCTGGCCTTCTGACTTTGTCTCCACTGCCACTAAATAAATCACTGAATCCAAAACTCCAGTGGAAGGCAGTGTGGTCCAGTGGAAGGTGCTTGTCTGTGAGTCAGAGAAATATGACTGAGTCCTGACTACTGCTTACTCAGCTTTGTGAAGTGCAGCATTTCATGCAACCTCTTTGAGGCTCAGACCCTACCACATGCATGACATGAACTTGACCTTGTTGCCATGGCAGGCGGTCAGGAAGCCAGATGGAGAGAGGTCTGTGGTCCCTTGACCTGGCTGTCCACTCCTGGGTTTAGAGCCCAGAAGAGCTCCCCTATGGGGCCGGGGGGAGGGGAGAACCAAGTGAGGATGTTCATCACAGAGTGATGGTAGTGATGAGGATGGTAGCGAGGATGGTGCTGCCCAACAGTTACCACTGGACGGAGAATGAAATGTCAACGGACTCGCCACGCAATAGCATGCCGGAGTTTGAAGTAGTGCAGCAAAATGTTAAAAACCGCTCTGGGTGAAAAACCAAAGCAAAAGAAACAACAAAGTCTGTGAATATCCACAAAAGCATATACTGCATGTTTTGTGAGGATGTATACGGAGTCAAGGGTATCATCCAACCCAGCAACACTGTTGCTAATGGCTTTGGGGGGAGGAAGTCAAGTTGGGGGTGGGGATAAAGGTGAAAGAGCAGGAAATAAATCGAGAACAGTTTGGGTGTTAAGAGTAGAGGTGTATGACTTAGTGTTTTTTTCCTGGACCTAAAAAAAGGGCAAAGATCAAGAAGAAAGTCAAGGAAAGGGAGAGGATCTAATAAGGGTAGTGCTGGGGGGTTTCAGGATGAGGGTACTTGTGTGGCTATGAGATGGCTCTTCCTTGGTTCATTGCTCTGTCTCTGTCTGGTTTTCTCATGGGAAGAAGTCTTAGGAAATGAAACTGAATGGCCTGAGATACTCATTCACTCTTATCTGATCTCTTCATGTCACTGACCCTAGTTGGCTAAAGGCACTTCCCTAATTTTGCCCAATTCTTCTTGTGGACCCAATTTTTGTGACTTGGTCACTGCAGAGCTTCTGGAAGGTGTGGTATGCAATCTTGCTAAACCAGTTGATAGCTTCCTGGATTCTTGAGCCTTTGGCCCAGCATATGAGTGTAACTGCTCTTCCAGTCAATAAGGCCTTTGTGTATGGGAGGGCAGAAGGATATTCCTGTGTGAGAAAGGGCCACAGGAAAACTCCCACCATTTTCTGAGTCTGAGAAAAAAATTATAAATGTGTAGAGGCATGCTCTGTAGTCTCCTTTTGTTAATTTATGGATTGAAAGATGAATGTGTAGTTATTGGAATGGTATAATTGAGTGTCACCCATGGTCACATCATAATTATCACCAAGTGATGAAGCAGGGAAATAAACTCTTTTCCTTCTGAATAACATTGTGCATATAAGCCTGGAAGCTGTGTCTACTTCCTTTAAATAAGGCAGGCAAACATAGGAGACATCATCTGATAGGGGGAGTGGAATCATGTACTGTCACTTCCTCACTTGGAACTAAAATTTTTGAGATGACATTTGAAGATAAAAATTAGCAAGATAACTCTTGGGCTAGGAGAGATTCACACCTCTATAGCTTATCAAAGTTGTCTTCTATTCTTTTTCCGTTTCCCATTTGGCCAGATGCCTTCCCCCTCTGAAGACTATGATTAGGTCAAGATGGGTATGTGGTCCAGGTCATTCCAATTTAAGGTTCCTTATGATTTTGATTAGTGATATAAAGAAAGACAAACTCTCTATATTCCACATGTAAGTGACACCATCTGGTATTTTTCTTTCTCCTTCTGAGAAAGTTCCATGCATGATGTCTCAAAAGTCAAGAGTTTTATCATTTGTTTGTTTTGTTTTTGTAGCTGTGTAGTGTTCTATTGTGTATATATACCACGACTCCCTAATCCACTCATCTGTCTTTGGGCACTAACGTTGTCTCTGTAATTTGTCTGTTGTAGATAGTGCTGCAATAAGCAAAGAAATGCAGCTATCCCTTTGAATTAGTGTTTTTACATTCTTTGGGTAGATACCTAGGAATGGAATTGTTCGATCATAACTTCAGTGCCTCAGTGGTGGGTATGGTGTTATAACATACACTTGAAGAGTGTGATACTACATCTCTGAATCATATGCAATGTTGTAAACCAATGTTACCTCAATAAACAACAACAAAAAGGAAAATTCTAGAACAGCTGTATAGAAGCCAATAACTATTAGGGAGGAGAACTGACTAAGAAGGAAGCCAGTGAAGACAAGAGCAGAGTAGAACAGGAGTAGGAGCCATAGCAAGATGGACGTGACACCATTACCTGAGAGCCAGTATTCATCCATCCTTGCCACCAGGATTCCCTAAGCTCTTCTCTTAGGTGAACAAATTAAATCCTCTTTGCATTGAGTTGACTTTTTATCATTTGCAAACCCAAATAATATGCCAAGCAAATAAGGCATGCCCTGAAACATTGGTGACCATACACTCATTTATCAACTATCTAGTATATGCTTATTTTATGCAGAAAGAGTCTTTAAAGAGTAAAATCACACTATTCATTTGAATCATGTTCAAGTAAAGACAACAAATCCATGTGTTAGTTCAGGGATACTTATCTCCTTGGGTGTCTGAATCCGTGTATGTGTGTGTGTGTGTGTGTGTGTGTGCATGCATTTGTGTATGAGCCCTTTTCCTTCAATAACTGTAGAGGAAGTGACCCTGTGTTGGATAGCAGGATCGCAACACATAACTAGACACACCTCGTGAATTCTTTCCCAACACTTTCATTTGCATCTGAGTGTGACGACTACTTCAGTGCTCATAGGCTAATGAGTTGTATGACCTTTGGGGATTTACTTAACCTCTCTGCACTTTTAGTATTCACCTGCAAAGTGGAGTAATAACAGTCTGTATATCAACCTATTGTTGTGAGTAATAAGCAAATATATATTAAGTGCATAGTGACTGGCATGCAATAAATCACTCAATAAATGATAGCTGTTGTTATTACTATTGTTATCATCATCATCATCAAGAAAGTTCACCAGTAATTCAAATAATTTGCATGCATGTAACCTTTTATTTACCATTTGCAAAGTACTTTCACATACACCATCCACTGGATATAGTTAATTTACAGTACATCACAACGTCTACTTCATATCTAAGTTTCTTGCATGTTGATAACAGCAATTTGTTCAAAGGTTTCCATGATGTTTGGCAAGATTTTCCATATTTAACATTACATGTGAATGACTGAGAAATGCATTTGTTTTTGGCAGATGATTCAAAGATCAAGGAATACATGTTTTGCACAAATGTGGCCAGGTCCTGAATATCTTTAATCAAAACTGGAAGTATAACTATTTCACAAAATTTTAGTTACAGCTGTTACACTGGTGAACAGACCTCATCAGAGAGATGTTATGTTCCTTTGATGAGAGTGTCAAAGAAGTTCTGAAGCAAACTCACTTTGTCTGCCATTGGCCATTTCAAATATTCCTCAAGTTGGTTGGGCCTCCTGAAAGACTGAGTGTGTTTCATATTACCAACAGGGCAGATTGTTAAGTTTGACACATTTCAATGTTTTCTTTGTTTATGGAATTCCTTCACAAAGACATGCTTTCAAAATGTGAATATATGGACCCACAGTAACATTTTTTTTTTGGACAGAAAATACTTTTGAATTAATAACTGGGTAAAAATCCTCATTTGTATTATTGAAGCGATTGCTGTTCTTTTGATCTGACATACTTTTCTAGGAGAACAAAATTGTTTTACTAATTGAGAAAAGTTTGTTAGTAATTCTGTCACTTTGGGATCTGGATGTTGTTTAATCTGATTCAAGGAAAACACAACTTCTTTAACTGCTAATGGAACAAGGATGCTGTCAAAGGAAGAATTCATACAATTTTACAAGTATAAATTTGAATAACATCTTGCATTATAAAAACAGCAACAAAGGAAAACTTTCTTAGGCATTTAGATTATTTCCTTTTTGTGAGAGCATCTGCCAGAAACCAGAAGAAATATTTAATTCTGAATTTTCTCTGTTTAGGCTACTCACGTATCTCCATTACTAAGTGACTTCTGATATTGCAATGTTAAAAAAATAGTCAAGAAGTATTCTTCATTTTGTCTCACTGATTTATTAATCTAGTCCCATCTAGACTCTTAAGAGTAACTTATCATGTGTGCTTATATCTTCATTCTTCATTGCAGATCACAAGGTGAATGCTGACTTCTAGACTTACATATTGATGCCCAGAATTATAGGCACTGATCATTTTATGAAGATGAGTCATAATATTTAGACTTTATGAATATTGAAAGCATCTTAAAAGACCAGAGCCACATTCTTCGAACTCTTAAACAATTGCTTCATAGTAAATTGGGCCTCTTCAAAGCTGTATTAATATGTGCTGCAGAATGGTTTGGTAATGAGTGGAAGAGATGTGTCAGTATTGGTGGAGAGTCTGTTCTAGAGAGCGAAGCCACAGGACAGACTAGCAATAAGCTTTTTAGGTAAATCCCTGCCAGGTGTTCCAGGAGTAATGCTCAACATTTAGTTATAAAGTCAGAAAATATCACTCTTATGTTTCAGGTGGGTCTGCATGTCCAGCTGAGTAGTTTTTGAGAACCTCCTCTGAATACCAACGGGACCTTCTGTGTGTGCCTGGTCCCTCCCACTGTGCCATCACTCTCTGCTGGGCTCAGCTGTTCTCCATCACCAGTTACCATGGAGAGTCAGAGTTGCTGTGAGTTCCGGGGTTGGGTGTATATGTGTGTGTGTGGGGGGGGGGGGCTCTGTGTGTCATACTTCAGCCTCCAAGCAGCACGGCTTGGGGCTCAGTCTCATAATGGCTGATCCATTTTCTTGTGTTAGCCTCACCTGTGGTGTCTAGATAAGAGTGTCAGACTGAGCTTCTGGCACCGTGGAAACCGATAGATCCCTCTCCATCTACCTGGAGCCCCATGACTCCCAGCACATATCTTGCTACTTTAGTTTATTTCCTTATAATCGCTCACTTGAGAAGATGCCTTGAGCGTAGTCATGGTTTGGTCTCAAGGGGTGAATAGAACCAAAAGTTTTATAAAATGCCTCCTTTGTGATTTTGTGGATTTAAGAAATTGACTCTTGATAGATGATGGTGTGAGTACAGAGACCATCACAGACAGTGAATAGGAATTTAAAGAGATCTGTGAAAGATCAAAATAACAAACTTTCTGCCATGATTTCTCAGGGCAGTTCAGATATCGAAGAGACGTGGGCGCACAGAGTAGTCAGTGACTCTGCATGATATTTGCATAGAGAGAACTTTAAAAAGGTTACATTTCTTTCCTACTTTCATATTTACTTTGTGTTAAGGTTATAGGATCTCGCTGGCAATGGTACTGATACTATTTTTGTAAACTCTTAACTCAGTGTTCAAATGGATGGGAATTTTGAGCATCAGCAACAATAAATACATATTTTTTGTCCTTGTAACATTCACACTGTGGTATGCCTCAGAGTCAATAAAGGTTGCTCGCTGCTTTCAACTCTAGAGCAAGAAAGAAACTTTTGTTTATAAATTTTAGAGATTTTTGTCTTTGCACTTGCCCCAGAGTCAAATGTAGATATCCACTTTAAGCACTTTTGGCAAAATATCAAATACACCAGGTTTTAGATAAGAAGAAAAAAACCCAGGTTTTCATCCACATATGTCCTCTGCTCTTTGTTGTGGTAGGTGACTTCTATTGGTCAAGCCTATGCTTTTGTGGACTTAAGGAATACAGAGCCTGTACAGGAAGTAAGAGAAGCAGGTGTGTTTTCTGGAATGTCTTTCTGATCCATTTTAGTTATGTCTAATTTGGAATAGGCTTATGTAGCATTTCATATACAAGAACCCTATTTATAGATTCTTTACTCCTGCCCTCCAAAAATGTAAAATTTTGTATTTATTGGAGTGAAATGGTCAGTGTTTAAAATCAATCAAAGATTATTTCATTGTGTGTCAGTGTGTTTTATATTGGATTTCCTTATAAAGATATTTGGTGACAGAAGTTTGGTATAATCTTTAACTCGCCATGCTTAGATGTGTGTACTAGACAGAAAGCACCTTGTAGGGCAGGCTATCTTGTTCTTTTTGTTAATCCTATAACACCTCATGGGAGGCTCTTCAGGAAATAAAGCATCAGTTTTTAACTGTATAGACTGTAATTCCTGAAGATATCTGTGACCTTGTATGGTTCTTGCAACCATCTGGCAAGGTGGCTCAGGCAAGTCTTATAATCGTCATTTCACAGATGATGAGTAGTGTCTCAGAGTGATTTGTGATACCCTCGTGTCTTTCATCCATTCATTTTTTTTTTTTAAATCTGAAAACTAGACACTTTATATTGAGCAAAAGGAGCATTACCAGGCCAGGGTGGGAGGAAAAGGGCCACTGAGAAATGGTTCATTTGCATTCATGAGTCAACTTGGTGACAGTTGAAGAAGACTTTCTACAGAGCCATAGAACTTGTCCATCACCAGCAGCATCTCTCTTCTAGAACTAGAGCAGGATCAGATTACATTCCAGATGGCCGTGAGCAGACCTCAGTGTGAAGGGCAGTGTGAAGATTTCCAGATGGGTGGCAGTGGAAATGCATTTCTGGCTTGAAAGTGGTCTCCGGGACACCTACTAGGTACAGTAGTTTTTCCTGAAGCTTTAAGACCAGCCCTTGGGTGCACCGCTTTTTCCTAACTTTGACCAGGTCTTGTTCATCGGAGATGTGGCAGACGGGTGGTTATCTCTCAGACAGAAGTTGTATTGAGAATGAATCAGCGACAACCAGCGTGACTCTGGACACAAGTCACCTTGTATCTTTAGGTCACAGATATTCATGTAATAAAATGTTCTTAATGCTCACATTGGGCTTGAGAGGCTTAATATTGAACTAAATTTTGCACATCATTCTCAGCCTTGGCACTGTGCTGTATGCAGATGCTTTTTAATACAACAAATAGTTTACTGAACAAATAGTTTACTGAACATATGATACATGTGGTTGACTGAGCATATGATACATGTGGTTGACTGTGCTAGTGCTGGCAATATGGTGGAAAGTGACACACACAAAGTACCTACCATCAGGAGACATAAAAACTAGTGGGGACAGATGAGAGGAAAGGCATGGCAGTTGGATTAATGTAATGAAAAGAACTGTCCCTCAATGGGAATAGTTTTTTCAGGGTTAAGTATGCTTGAACTTTCTGGTTGTCTTGGGTTTAAATTACCTGGACTTCTTAATGCCCTTATAGTAAGGCTCTGCCTGGTCTTAGTAGCTGTGAAATATGTGGAAGTTTCATGACCTGTTGGTGCCTTAGTTTTATCATCAGTGAAACATCGGAGTTAAACTGTATGATTTTTAAAGTCTTTTCAGTGAAACATTGAAAGGTTTTCCTTTAAGACCAGGAATAATACAAGGATGCCCACTCCCACCACTCCTATTCAACATAATTCTGAAAGGCCTAGCCAAAGCAATTATACAAGAAAAAAGGATGAGACACCCAAATTGAAAAAAAAAAAGTAATATTATTTGTTTGCAGTGTTATGATCTTATATAGAGGAAATCCTAAGTATTCCACCAAAAATCTTATAGAACTAGTAAATTCAGTAAAGTTTCAGGATATAAAATAAATCAGTTGCATTCTATATTGCACTATACCATTTCTATACTAGCAATAAAATTCCTAAAATTGTAATAAAGACATCCTATTTACAATAGCATCAAATCTATAAAATTTAAAATAAATTTAACCAAGCAAGAAAAAGATCTGTATGCTGCAAACTTTGACTGCGGGAAAAAATCAAAGAAGACACAAATAAATGGAAATATATCCCATGTTCATGGATTGGAAGAATTAATTTGATGAAATATGCATACTACTCAAAGTCACCTATAGATTCAGTGCAACCTCTATCAAAATTCCAATGGTATTTTAAACAGAATGTGAATAAAAACCCTGACATTTATAGAGACCACAAATGATTCTTAATAGCCACAGCAATCCTAAGAAAGAACACTTCCCTACTGTTTCAAAACAGTATGGTACTGGCATAAAAACAGATTATGAGAACGACAGAACAGACTAAAGAGTCCAGAAATAAACACATGCATATATTGTCAATTAATTTACAGCATATGAGTCAAGAATATATGATGAGAAAGGACAGTTTCTTCAATAGATAGTTGAGAAAACTGGATAATCACATACAAAAGAATGAAATTGACCCCTATCTCATATGACTCACAAAACTAACTTGAATTATATTAAAGACTTAAACATAGTCTCTGAAAGCGTAAAACTCTTACACTGTCTCCTAGAAGAAATCATAAGGAAAAGGCACCTTGACATTGGTCTTGGAAATTACTTTTTGGAGCTGACATCCAAAGCACTAGTAACAAAAACAAAATTAAATAAGTGATAGCACGTCAAACTAAAATGTTTCTGCATAGCAAATGCCCTTCCTCAGTTTCTTGACCTATTAGGTGGGGCTAAAAATATCTTATGGGGATGCTGGTGCCACTGGACATCACAAATTACAAAATGTGCAGTGTCTGGAAAGGAAATGTGGGATGAGGGATTCTCCCTCCCGATACTCTGGTAATAACAATCATTTCACATCCCCACTTACAAACCACCACTTCCAATCAAACTTTTCAGATGAAATTCTAACTCAGTCCAGAGGCCGTGCCTGATTTGATCCCTGTCCAGGTTGCCAGTCCCATCTTTACCCAGTCCCTCTCGTCTGGTTGTTTTGGTTGCTCAGATGGGCAAGAATTACCTTTCCACCCCAGGACCTTTGAACATACCCTGTTCTTGGGTAAAAATACTGTTTTATCTTTCCATTAACTCACTAGCCTTTCTTGACCTTGAGGTCTCAGCTTAAATGTCACTTTCCCATGGAGTCTTCCCTGAACTCTAGAAAACCCCAGACCTCCTCTTACGCATTCCTAGAATTCCTTTTAGTGGGATACTCCTGTTAGTGGTAATTAACAACTTAATTCATCATTAATTGTGTGATGTCTGTCTGGTCACTGGGATGTAAGTTCTGGGAGGGCAGAGCTATATCCATTGAGTTCGGTTCTGTCCTCAGATCCTGGCACTGGGTCTCACTCTGAGCAAGCATTTGCTGAGTGTTCATGATATAGAAGAATGAAAGAAGTAATGAGCTGATGAATCAACGAGGCCCACTGACACTTTCCTACATGTTTTTATCAAAAGAAGACCATGAGATGTGAGCCATGGAGACTTTAGGAAAGTCACAGGTCTTCATCCAAAGTTGTGTCCTTTTCACCCCTGAGGGCGGCACCACTTCCAAGGGGGCCATTTGTCACCTGCGGCACAGCAGGCAGCCTCGTGTACCAAATGAGCTGTGTCCACTCTGACCAGAGTGATACACGGGATGATGAAAAGACACCACCTCTCTGAAACAGATGCTTCGTTTTACGATGGAAAGGGAGAAACCGCAGGCTGCAGGTGCGGGCGGGCTGACACGGGCTCTGTGGAGGATCATTAGCGCCTCCTCAGAGAGGCAGCTTTAACTCTGTTTAATCAGCCACAGGCGGGAGAAATGGCTTCATTTCAGCTCGCAGAGAGCCAGATCACAAAAGGATGATAGATGGCCAATAGGGTTCATCACTATCGGCATATTGCCTTAATTTGGAGGGACAGCCTGGCACCCGCACTAATCAGGAAGCAAGATGGAATCGGCTGGTGCCGCGGCCCAGTCAGGTCTGCTCTCGGCGCCCCTGAAGGATGGCCTCCTGCTTGTTTCCTTAATTAATATTTTAAGGAACGTGAGAACCATAAAACATATGACTCCGTCACTTAAGGAGTTGCCTGGCTTGGAATTCAGGACGCTGGAGGAAGGCCTCTTCATACCGGAAGTGTCTGAGTTCCCGCCTAGAGACAAAGGATGGCCGCCATGTTGATGGAGAGCCCGGCCCGCCATTTGCTGGCTGCTAGTCCTGTATACTGATGTCCGCGTCGACCCGGAAATAACTACAGGTGGAGACTGTGTTATGTTTCTGTGGGTTCCTGTTTTCCCTGGCTTGGGCCTCTGTGGGCCTTGTTCTTCTAGAACACACCCTGGTGGGCTCTGTGCAAATGGATATTCAGATCAACTACACTTAGCTTCTGGCTTGCCCAAAAATGCCAGAAAAGGGATTTGAAGCTTGTGTGGGAGCAAGGATGTGTATCTGAACTCGGTGTCCTTGTCAAACCCCTCTTACTTGAAGGAAAAGCAGACAACGAGTAGTTTGGGCACTTAACACACAATGGCTGTTTCAGAATCATTTGGTATGTGTCACATCTGAGTTTTCATGGTATCACCCAGCCCCAGCTCAGAGTGCTTTTATAGCCCTCCCCACCCCCGTGACTATTTTCCAGATGTTCTGAAACAACATCAAGTGACCCAGTTTACCTGGGAGAGGTTTAAAAAGGTGCATTTATGAGAGACTGGGGTGGGGGAGGCTGAGATATTCTCTCAGCAGCTTAGTTCTGGATAATCTCCCGTGAACGCAGTATCGAATCTTACTTTACCTAAGGCACATTGAGTACTTGTTTTTGAAAACGATATGCTAAACACTCCTAAAGTGAAGAAGAAACTTAAGAAGCTTAACAATGGATGTAGAAATATTATCATCAGCTATCAGGGTAACAGTATCCAGTCGCTGCCCTCCTACAGGCACAGATTTGGACTTAAGCAGAGGAAGACAAGGCGGTCGAAGTGTGTGGTCTCAGAATGTGTAATCATCAGTGAGTTGGGGGAGGAAGGACTCGGTTAGCATAAAACCTGAGCAGTGACATTTGCTTTAGGAGCGGAATATGATGAAAGTGAAATCACAATTGCAGAAATGAGAATGACGTACCAGGAGGCGAGCTGAGCTTGTGCACAGATCTCTATGGGGCGGCGATGCCATCGGAAGGAGAGAAGTCAGCATGGCAGGTAGGAGATTGTGAGGAGCTGGCCACATGGGCAGCAGATTACCAGAGCAGTTCCTGGGGTCAGAAACCAGCTCTTTGCCTATCAGGTGGGGACACACCATATCTCACGAAGAAACAATATGTTGCCTTCTATACACTCATGTGAAAAGAGCCACCAGTTCCCTCCAGATGGGCATCAGGCATGATGACAAACTCTGGCAAGAAGGGGGGATAACTCTTCCATGGCACATCTGCTATGGGGAGACAACTCAGTGGAATAGGTCCCTGCAACCTCCAAAGTAAGCAACATGCCAGAGCCTTGCCGTGAGAAGTGCTTCATGTTCTCGAGCATGTCTGTTTTCCCGAGGCTGCCAGTGCGAAATGAGCAACCTTCCTGGCAGGGCTGAGGTTCCCCGTGGCACCGAACTCCCTCCAGCCATCCTGCTGTTCCCATGTGCAAGGGAACATGAGCACTCAGGAGAGATTCCCATCTCTCTAGCGCTCAGAAGGCTTGCCGGTGGCCTGCTGTCCAGCAGCCATCTACACAGGACCTTCTGTTGTGTGGTGACAGGTCCCCCACAAATGAATGACAGTCCTTTCGCTGAGCTCACAAATAGATACCCCTTTCCCTGCTGGAGGCTGAGGGTCTCAACCGGCACTGGCATTTCATCCAGCTCACGCTCTGATCAAGATGTTATCAGGAAACAAAGGAATAAACAAAAGTAAACCAAAACAAACCCAGAAATCTGACGGCAGAATTGAGGCTGGGGTGGGGAGAAAGCAAAGGGGGGGGGGTGTCCCGTGGACTGTGGTGAAGGATTATGGGCACTTTGGTGGTGGGTGTGGTATGGGAGCCTCCCTCTGAAGAGGTGTGAACCTGTAGCTCTGAATCCTGTCTGCTGTTGTAAAGCAACATTATTTCAATAAAAAATAGCACCACATAAAGGATAAAAAGTATAACTCTAGTTTTCATGGCAACCAGGGTGCCTGCTTGAGATAAGATGGACTACTCTTTGCTCTGAACACATGTCTGTGGCCATTGCTGGTGCTTTTTTGATTCCTGCAGCTGATCTGTGGCTCACAGGAGCATGAGAGTTACATTACCCTTATCTTAACATCCTTGCCATCAGTGTTATTATTGGTCATCAAATTAGCCGCTTCCTCTCATTTCAGATCCACTGAGAGTTTGGGGTGTTTTGAGTTGAGTGGGTAAGACAAGGGGAAATAGGCGATTTCCTCTGCCTCTTGTAGAGTTAATCTCTCCTCCAGATACTGTTAAAGCATCTCTTTCAACAGCAGTCTTTACTCCTAGTGCAGCAACATGACGGTAAAGAGCAAGTTTCTTCCTTACAATGGCCCAGCTCAAAGTCCAAATGATAGATGATTTCCTGGTCCTGAAGAAGACATTTAAGCACTTATATTTCTTTCAACAATTTATTCCAGTTTGAACAAGACAGTCCATTTCTCATGTAAGCATGGAGCAAGCAGGTTATGTGTGCAAACAGAAGTGTCTGGCCTCTAGTCAAGTGTGGGGTGAAAGAAGAACCTGGAAAGAATGTCACTCGCCAGAGATGTTATTTCTTGTGTCTATCATTTGAGATCTAGGGGCTTCCCTCCTGCCTGCACAAATTTCCTCTGTTCTTAAAAATCTTGTTTGGGGGCCTCCCCTGGTGGTGCAGCGGTTGAGCGCTGGGCTGCGAGGCTGCCCGCAGCCTCAGCAGCGCTGGTTTGTTCCCTGGCCACTGGCGAGGGTCCCCCCCACACACAGACAAAAAATCCTGTTTGTGTCTGCTAAGAGGACAAACTTTCTTTCTTTCTTTTCTTTTTTTTTTTGTTTCTTTATTATATATATATATATATATATACACACACTTTATTATACTTTATATATACTTTATATATACTTTATTATATATAATATATATTATATATATAATTTTATTTTGTATACTTTTTACATCATTTTTCATTTTTGTACAATGTGTGCATTTTCATCTCTGTTATAGTCCCCGTGAAATACCCACCAGCCATTCACCCATGAACTATCACCATGGTCCCTTGTGCTCTTCCCACCCCTGTTTTGATCCTACTCCCTTCGCCCCCCACACCGCAGTATGCCTCTGGTTTATAGTTGCCTGTTGATTTAATTTTTTAAAAGATTATTTATTTATGCATACAAGAGCTGGGGTACAGGCCAGATGCAGAGGGTGAGAGGATTCACCAGAGACAGAGCAGGAACAGAACAGGCAGACTGACTGAAATACACTGCTGAAGGGAGCAGCCGGTGGGGCAGGAGAGGTCTGCTGTGCCATGTGTGTAGCTCCCTGGCCTGGGATCGAACTTATGCTAGAGTGCCTGTGGATAGCTTCATAGGTTGCATCTTAAACCCTTGTGCCACCAGGTAGGCCCTTGATTTTGATTTTTACTTTATTATAATTTAATTTTTTTTCCTGATCCCTTATTTGGATTCTTTACAGTCCTGCATAAGGGAGGCCATCCAGTATTTTTCTTTTTCTTTCTGGCTTATTTCACTGAGCATGATCCCTTCCAGCTCCATCCACATTGCTGCAAATGGCATGAGTTTATCTTTTTTGATTGCTGAGTAATATTCCATGGTGTATATGTACCACATCTTCTTGATCCAGTCATCTATTTTTGGGCATTTGGGTTGTTTCCATAGCTTAGCTATGGAATAGGAAAATAGTGCTGGGATAAACATAGGGGTGCAGGTGTGGACAAACTTTCTTACCAAGGATCTTCTTTGTCTACTATGGTAGGCCAATAAGGGACATTTCTAGTTCTTCCTTCTCTCTCTCTCTTTTTTTAAAGATTTATTTATTTATACATACAAGAACTGGGGTGCAGGCCAGAGGTGTGTGGGGTGAGAGGATTCACCAGAGACAGAGTGGGAAGCAGAACAGGCAGACTGTCTGAAATACACTGCTGAGGGGAGCAGCGGGCGAGACAGGAGAGGTCTGCTGCACCATGTGGGTAGCTCCCTGGCCAGGGATCAAACTCATGCTGCAGTGGCTGCCGATAGTTTCATAGTGCTGAGACTTAACCCCTGTGCCACCAGGGAGGCCCCTCTTCCTTCTCTTCCCCTGACATCCCCAGCCTGTCTGTCTACTACTTGGGCTGTTCAGGGGGTCGAACTGATCTGGAATCTAAAAGCCCCCACAATTTCACTTATCCCAACAAGGTTCCCTTTCCCTGAAGTAAAGTAAGACATTTGTTTCAACTAACATGTTTTGTTCTCTGTACTACATCCTAACTGCTGAAATGTCACTTCTGCAATATTACTACTTCTACTAGGAAACATTTGCAAACATCTTTAAAAAGGACTCCTTTCTTACCCCAGCAAAAATATGGCCAAGTTGGCACAAGTATTTCTAAAAAATCCATTTCCCTGAAAAAAGTCATCCCTTTTCTTCCTAACCAGCAGGAAAAGGTAGATATGCCACCCAAGGGAGAAGCCTTATATATTTTGCAATATGTAATTGGCCCATAGAGGCTCAAATGAATGGTCACACCTTTGGCAGAGCAGAGCTTTCAGTGATCCTGTGACAGGTTGTACAACTGGTAGGTCTTTGGGGGTACTGAGAGCTGCTTCTTCCATGGGAGCCATCCAAGGGAGCAATTAGAATCAGAAGTGACTGGGGGCCTCCCTGGTGGCTCAAGGGGTTAAGAAGCAACCTATGAAGCTATCCACAGCCACTGCAGCATGAGTTCGATCCCAGGCCAGGGAGCTACCCAAATGGCATGGCAGACCTCTCCTGACTCGCCCTCTGCTCCCCTCAGCAGTGTATTTCAGTCAATCTGCCTGTTCTGCTCCCCACTCTGTCTCTGATGAATCCTCTCACCACCGCCCCCGCCACACCTCTTACCTGTACTCCAGTTCTTGTTTGCATACATAAATTTTTTTTAAAAAAAAGAGGTGACTGGTACATTTCTCCCATATTTGTATTATGTACTGAGAGCCCAAATATCCAAAACTCTCCCCATGTGGACCTTCTAGAAGATTGAACAATCTTAATTCAACCTGCCCAGGAAACTTCTATCCACTTTCCCCTATATTATATGAACCTGACTACTCAGTGTAAAGTGTTGGGAAAATTGTGGCTCTTCACAGAGCAGCAGCTGCATGTTGCCAGGCACTAATTCCAGAAAGATGTTAAAAGGAGGTCTTCATTTCAAGCCATGCATCTCAGCTAGAGCCTCCCTGTCAGCTTTTAAGACCATGGTGTCTCCTTCTTGAAATGTTACCTCCTTTCTCTGATAGGACTGGGAAAACCAGGACCTGTAATTTATGGCTCCTATTATGAAGGTTGGCTGGACGTGTGGACAATGTGTCAATAATTATTTCTGGTGGGATCCTAATGGTGGAGGAGGTGCCCCTGTAGGATGGTTTATTTCCACAGAAGACAGATATGCCTGACCTGGGTTTCATGACAGATGTCAAATAGATCGAAGTGTGTTGTGAAGCAGATCACCTTATTGGCAAAGAAATGAAAGGCCACCAGGAAGATGGATGGGCAGCTTTCCTCAGAGGACTTGCTGTCTCTGTGCAGGTGTGGCAGTGAACTTGAACAAGGGCAGATGCTTGCCTAAGAGTGGTGTCAGGGGTAAGCACTCTGAACAACTGCCTGTCCATGCAGCTTGGAAACAGAACTCTGGGGGTTTTGGGGGGATAGTGTGGGATGAGGGTGATATGTGTGAGGCAGCCTCAAGAGCCCCTACCTTCTGGACTTGCTCAAGAAATGTCAGTTTTCCAGCCTTTATTCCTGATTTCAGTTCACAAATACTTGAAGGTCTATCTTGTTTCAGGTGCTGTGCTGGGCACTGGGGGTTAGGACTCCAATCAGAGATTTCCCACCTCCCTTCCTCTGGGTCCCTCTACTATGGGGGAGGACACGGGATGTTGGGATCATGGATTTTATTTTTATAAGATTTATTTATTTATTTATTTATTTATTTATTTATTTATTTATTTATTTATACAAGCACCGGGTATAGTCAGAAGCACAGGAGGGTGAGAGAATTCACCAGAGCCAGAGCGGGGAGCAGAACAGGCAGACTGATGAAGTACACTGCTGAGGGGAGCAGCGGGTGCAGCAGGAGAGGTCTGCGCATCATGTGGGACCCTCGCTGGTGACCGGGGATCAAACCAGCACTTCAGAGGCTGTGGGCAGCTTCACAGCCCAGTGCTCAACCGCTGCACCACCAGGGAGGCCCATTGGGATCATGGATTAACAGCTGGGTTGCCTGGGATAAGTCGATGCACCTTTCTGAACCTCATTTTCCTTAACTAGAATATGGGGACCCATATTCCTATTTAATGCCAACTTTTCAGTGTCCACTTTCTAAACAGGGTGATGTTTTCCTCTACCTTCTCCCTTCTGCCTCCTTGATTGATGAGAATCAGAATACATGAACAGCAGGGGTTTGAAGTGCATGGAGAAGATTGACCATAAGAGCATCTTTATAGTTGTTCCATAGAGGCATGGTGAGCGAGGACATGAAGTCTGTGGCTCAGAGTGTGTCCGACACAGAAGCAGAATTTCATATAGTATCTCAAGTGCTTGTTTGCTTCCTGCAAGAACTGTGGGCGGTGAGTACAGCTGACCCCTGAATAATGCTGTGGTTAGGGGTGCAGACCCTGTGCATCAGAAACCAGAGGTATAACTTCCTCCCTATATGTGGGTTTTGCACCTGTGGATTCTACCCAAGGGCATGGCAGGTTGGTTGATCCATGAATGTGGAACCAGGGATAGAAAAACATCCACATATAGATGGATTCAGGCATTTCAAACCTGTGCTGTTTACGTGTCCTGATTCTGGTCAAAATCAAGGTGGAGGAGGTAGAGAAAAACATCCACCTACTTAGAAAGTGGCCACTGAAAAGCTGGCACCATAAAGCAGGAAATGGTGACCACCCCATGGTTTGCCTTTTATCTCACGTGCATGCCAGGGCATTTGTGTTACCCTCTGCTGAAATGATCTTCCATTAGCTTACAAACTCCCTGTAGCCCATGTCCTAACCTCCCATTTGTCAAATATGGTTATCAGAAAACCATGACCAGGAGACCGGGGAGTCACCACTTGCAGGTGGGTGTAGCTGGCACTGGGTGCTGGACGAGGTGGGAGAGCCACCTGGGTTTAAGCTGGCCCTGGCTCTGGGCCCCTTGCGCTGTGCAAGCTCCTGCTCGCACCTCATGCAGCCCCTGCGTGGACTTAGGAAATGTTTCCAGACTCAATTTATTACAGTCACTGCTGTGCATAGAATGAGGACATTATATTTCAAAGAGATGACTTCAGTTATTGGGAAGCCATGAAGGCTAAACTACAGGTAAAATGTAAGAATTCATCTCACTGGTGTTTGTCTGTCCCAAACAGGAAAAATAACACAATGTTTCCTTCACTCTGGATCTTCTGGAAGTAAACTGATAAGCTTGTTTATCTCTCGATGAGCCGAGGGTGCATATGGAGTATGGGGAATCAACACCACCATGGATCAGGAACAAAAGGAGAGAGAAAAGAGGTCCCCCCTAAACTTGTGCCCCGTCCCACAACCTGCTGTTCATGTATACCGATTCTGGTCAATCAAGGAGGCAGAAGGGAGAAGGTAGAGGAAAACATCCCCCGATATTTGTGCCCAATATTTTTCTTTTCCCCCCTGACTTAGTTCACTTAGCATCATCCTGGAAGAGAAATCTTAATGCCGATCTTACTCGCTTTCTGGAACTTCAATTCTATAGTCAGATGTCTAGGGTTTGTTGTGGTTTAGTTCTGTCTGTTCTTTCGTTTTGTTTCTTTATATTTCACATATGGTGTAACCATCCGGCATCTGTCTTTCTCCTTCTGACTTATTTCACTTACCGTTGTCCTCTCCAGCCCCGTCACATGGAGAGAAATCCTTTTTAAAATTTGTTATTTAAAATTTTCTTACATTGTTCATTTTGGTACAATATTAGATTTCTTCTCTCAGGTGTAGTCCCCACAAATCTCCCGCCACTGTAGCACCCGTGACCATCACCATAGTCCCTTGCGCTCTTCGCTCCCCTGTTTTGACCCCTCTTCCTCCCCCGCTGGATGGCTCAGGGCTATGGTTTGCTGCAAATTTTGTCTTTTTCCTGATCCTTCTTTTCATTTTTCCTATAGTCCCCCTTTAAGTGAGAACATTTGATATATTTTTTAAAGATGTATTTATTTATACAAGCACTGGGGTACAGGCCAGAGGCACAGGAGGGTGAGCAAATTCACCAGAGACAGAGCAGGGAACAGAACAAGCAGAAGGACCGAAGTACACTGCTGAGGGGAGCAGCGGGCGAGACAGGAGAGGTCTGCCGCGCCATGTAGGTATCTCCCTGGCTGGCCGGGAATTGAACCCGCACTGCAGAGGCTGCGGAACAGCTTCACAGCACTGCACTCAACCCGCTGTGCTACCAGGGAGGCTCGATATTTTTCTTTTTTCCTTCTGACTTAGTTCACTTAGCATCATCCTGGAAGAGAAATCTTAATGCTGATCTTATTCGCTTTCCCTGTTTCCCCTGATCTACTGCTGGGCTTTTGAGCATGGTGAACCATGGAGAGAGATGGGTGGAGCGGACCTGGGATGTGAACTGTCTTCATAGGTTTCATTCTCTACCACTGCCAGGGTGGTTAGATGCTTCTCTGCAGAACAGAAAACACTAGCCTCCCTTAGAAGCAAGCAACAAAGATCTAGCTTTATGTAGAAGACAGCTGAAGGCGGGGGTGGGAGGGGGATGGAACTTAAAAGAGAATTTCTACATATGCGAGGCACTTGCCTTCTCTGAGATCCTAAGGACTAAGTTCATGGCTGTTACTGAGGAAGGTGGGGTCTAGCCAACATCTTCCTTTCAGACAGGCTGGCATATCAAAGGAGAAATGCTTTTTACTTTGAATCTAGAAAATGTAGACTCTGTCACTGGGCTGAAGGAGGAGCAAATGGCTTTGGAACCACAAGAGTATTCCACAAATTCATATTCTTTTCTCCTCTTCATTCTGATTTCTTTTGGTCCCCTCTGCTCCTTTTATTTCCCTTAGAATTTGTATTAAATTCGTTACATGCTCTTAAGGGAGGGAAGTTCTCAAGGGTTTAATCAAGGCATAAGATGCTATGAATAAAAAAGGTGGGAGGGGTGGGAATCCACAGTGGCTTCATTGAACGAAACCAGAACTCCCCTCAAGTGCTTCCCCCCTTTTGAAGAAAAATATCCCACCTCTCCTCCAGGAAGCCGAGTCTCAAAGGCCTTTATTAACTTGATCTTTGGGAATAGTGTTTTAATTTTCCATAATCATCATGCAAATTGATCATGATAATCTCTGGAAAGGAAAAAAACGTGAGCCAATGGCCTCATTAACCGCGATGCTAGCGGGACCCTCGTTCCTAAGAGCCGCTGCCCTCAGCCCCGGCCTCCTTTGTGTGTGACTCGGTCCAGTCCCCAGGGCCAGCGGTGACTCATTCCCTGCCTGGCCTGTGTAAATTGCCTCATGCATTTTACTCCCTCGCAGTGCCACAGGGGAATCATTTGAAAGGTCTCAACCTTATGAGAGAAACATTGGTGTTCTGTTAGATTCCAGCCGGGATCTGCACCTTTGCCTAAGCAGAAGCACCCTGTCCATGTGCGTGTTTTATCCACATCTCGCCTTAAAGACCTCCAGGTCTCAAATTGCTAAACTTTGGAAAATAAATGGAAAAAATGAACATGAGAACGTGCGGCTCTGATGCCTGATCCCAGTTGCCATTCTGCTGAATTCTGGGGCTTTTGAAAAAATTTGTCTTAATTTTTAACAGGGAAAAATGACAGAGACAAGTAGATTTGCCCAAAATAGATCGAGTGACCAATTTTCGAGTTGGTTATTCATTTCATGTAAGTGGCTCCACTTTTTATTTTTATAAACTGTAAACTTTAGGAGAAAGCCAAATCAAATGCAACACGCTCTTAGGGATTGCCTGCTATGCGCCAAGCAAGGTGAGACATGTCCTCAAATGCTGCCTCCTTCATCCTTGTCCTACAGGTGAGGAAAAGGGAGGGCGGGAAGGTGAGATGACCTGCCCAGCTGGGAAGTGGCAGCGTCCTTTGCAGATCCCCCTCATCATTAAACAGGATTTGAGGCAACTCTTTGCAAATTAGCTTCTTTAGAGCTCTGGAGAGTGAGGCTGTTTTTCAGCGGCCCTTGTCCTGCTAGTGATTAGGGAGGATTCCCCGTAACCCTTGGAGTTGCTGGCTCTGTAAAGCTCTGGGTGGTGAGTAGAGTCGCTAAGTGTCTGCCTCCACTGATTCATTCGTCTCCGGCTGAAAAACACTCTCTCTTTCTTTCCTGGGGCAGACGGTTCCCTCCTTGTGAGGTCCAGAGGGGAGATGCTCATGGAGTTGAGGGAGGGGAGACACAACGAGTCTGCAACAAGTCAGGGTCACATGTACGGCTCCTCTTGGAAAAACTCTCTCTCTCTTGCTGGGCTGCGAAGCTGCCCGCAGCCTCTGCAGCGACGGTTCGATCCCCGGCCACCGGCGAGGGTCCCACATGGAGCCACAGACCTCTCCTGTCTTGCCCGCTGCTCCCTTCAGCAGTGTGTTTCATCAGTCTGCCTGTTCTGTTCTTCCCTCTGGCTCTGGTGAGTTCTCTCACCCTCCCGCACTTCTGACTGCACACAGTGCTTGTATAAATAAATAAATAAATCTTTTTAAAAAATTAAAAATAAAAAAAATAAATTAATGACACGGTTTTGAAAATGCAAAAAAAAAAAAATAACTCTCTCTCTCTCTTACTGCAATGAGGGATGGGTTGTGTGGTCCTTAAAGTCACTTTCCTTGTCTCAATAAGTGTTGTAATACAGAAGTATTGACACCTGCTAGCTAGAAGGGATTGAATTACAATGTGACTAAATATGCCGTCCGTCAATGTTTGCTGAGTGTTAGCTATCGGTTGGGAATTGGGTTAGGCGCTCCAGATAGAAAGACCAAAGGCACAATGATCTTGTAGGAAAGGTGCAGCCTTGAACACATGGGTGCAGCATTCATTGGAAGGATGGTGCATCTAGAACAAACACCAGGGGCACAAGGAAGGCTTGAGAGAGGCACAGGCATTAGAACTGGGCCTTGAAGTTACTAGCGTGAGTTCTTCAGATTGAAAAGTGGGAGAAAACACATTCCATTTTCGAAGGTCCCTGAAGTTTCTCTTGCTAAAATAAGAGTAAGTTACCACCTTGGAAATCACCGTAAACTTGGTGTAACTGGTATAGGAAGGTGGTGTTTCATGGAGTGCACCATAATGGCGCTGCAGTTGATTTATCTGCTACAACGGTATTTTCTGAAACAACACTCAGAAGAACACCACTTCCTTGAGATGTTAATTGGTGCTTTCTGGGAAAACAGTTTTTTTTTTAAATTTTTTAAAGATGTATTTATTTATACATACAAGAACTGGGGTGTAAGCCAGAGGTGTGTGGGGGGGGGTGAGAGGATTCACCAGAGAGAGTGGGGAGTGGAACAGGTAGATCCACTGAAATACACTGTTGAGGGGAGCAGTAGGTGAGACAGGAGAGGTCTGCTGTGCCATGTGTGTTACTCCCTGGCTGGCCGGGGATCGAACTTGTGCTGCAGAGGCTGGCGATAGCTTGACAGCACTGTCCCTAACCCCTGCACCACAAGGGAGATCCCATCAGTTTTCTTTTAAAGTCAAACAAAATATGGGGAGCATTGACTGGGGCCCAGTTCCCTGGACAGTTTCTGCAGGACTTCTCAGAGCCTTTGGAGTACTCCTCTGTGTTGTAAACCAAGAACCTTCCATGCACCAATTTGTCTTGCCCTTTGCCCAGTGCTCGCTGAATTCCATGGCTCCCCCAGTGCAAGATCTGCTTGAGTGTAGGGGCAGCTATCAGCCATCTTCAGTAAGTGGATGTTTCTATTTCAGAAAGAAACCAGGGGCACAGGGGTGAGAAACTGGACATGAGGCCACTTGTCACCAGATAGTTAAAATCTGAGAATGAAGGTGATGAAGATGGACAGGAGGGGACCAAATTGATATGTTTGGAGCAATGGAAAAGTTATGTCCATAAAGAGGGTGAATGAGAAGAGAGATCTGAGAGCGACTCTCTAGATTTTGGCTGAGAAGCTTGAACAGTGAAGAGAAATGTTAGGTAGAAGATGATAAAGTTAATTTGATTTGGGATGTTTTATACCAAAGTGCCTATAAGACCTATAAATAGAACTGATCAACTCAGCCAAGAGCTGGAGACAAATCTGCAGCTGAAGACATCCAGGAGTTTATTTTTATCCTTCGGTGATGCTTCAGGAGACGCTTTATTGTCTAGCAGTGTCTTAGGGGTCATCCTAATTAGCACTGTGTTGCTTGACCAGAGATGTATAGAAATGCAGGTTGTAGAGAGCTTGGTTTAATATAAAGATGAATATAGATTATTCACTAGCTATATACATACTGAGATATTGATATATGACTAGCACAGCAATTGTGCATGGGAAAAACAAGCAAACAAAATAAACAAGTAAATAAGTAAACCAATAAATGAAAGAAAAAAAGAAAAAGACCCAATTCTTGCTCCAGGAATAATTATCTTAACACTTACAGCAGATTTTGAAATCGGCGAGATTACATGTGTAAGGATCCTGTCCTTCCATTTGCTCAATGACCTTGAATAGCTTATGCAACTATTTAAACCTTGAATTTTCTCATTTGTGATATATTATTTGTAGAATGCCATTTAATATCTTCTTCATTAAGGAGCTGTTGAGGATAAGCCAGGGTTAAACAAAACTTTATTTTGAACGTATAAAATAAGTTTAGGTAGGAAATAATGTATGCATTGTGATCTATTTAATAATTTTTACTATTATTTTATTTGATTTCCAGTTAATACCCAATAATAACCTGTCTATTTGAATTGCAAAACTCAAGCTGGCTTGAATTAAAGAAGTGTGAAAAATTCCTGGGCTGGCAAAATACATAACACTTCCATCAATTAAAAATAGGTAAAATGTGTTAAAAATAATGAAAAGTTCATGCTTTAATTGAACTGGCTTTTCATGAGTTTATGTTTTTATGAAGCTTAATGAACAGAAATTGAAATGGTGCCATTATGAAATCTGAGTTAATTGTTATTATTCCCATAAAGCTCACAGGATCAAGAAAAGTTTTGCCGTTATGCCAACTAGAAATGTACAGTACCTGCCTTCATTTTCTCTGGATTTATTTTTGGTAATAAAGACCAACATTCACCTCGGCAAAGAGAGCATTTGCTAAATTGAAAACTTCCTTTAACCGCTCTAGCAACTTCTGACACGAGCCGGCCAGAATGGCAGGGTGCTGTGTCCATCGGACAAGACTTTCATTGTGCTTTCTGACTTTGTTAAGAACAAGACTTTCTCCACATTACTGTTACTCCAGTACCATCCTAATCTTAAATATCATTGTGCTAGAAGGCACTCCAATGTTAATTAAAAATAGAGTCTAATTATTTACCGTACTTGGTTCATACAAACCTCTGCAGTATAATCAGTGGACTCCCTTAAGGGGCTTCACGGTATTTGGGAGTGAAATCAAAAGGTCTGTTGCTGACTTACTCTCGACTCAAGAGTGTAATTAAGTATAACCTACAATTCACCTTTAGGTCACAAGATCAAACATAACTTATCTGGGCAAAGTCCAAAGGTATGTGCTTGTGTTGACTGGCTACCATTGGGCGGCATACATAAATGAGTGGCACTTTTACCTCTGGGCCACCCAGAGAACATTCTGGGTGTTTCTGGAAATAGAGGGAAAGCAGAGGGTGACCGACTGGGTCCTTCACTTTAGACTGTCTTCATGACAAAGCGCCATTAGCCAAGCCTAAGAATGGCTCTGCTGGTTGTTCAGCTACAATCTCTTCCCATTCTTGACTTAGCTAGCCCTGGCTTGGAGTTACTGAGGAATGTTGTCTCACCATTAGCGGGCTGGGCCATCACGGGGCTTTGCCCTCTGGAAGTGTAACAGTATTTCCAGGGCCAGCATGGTGGTCAGCTCTGCCTTTAAAATCTTATATAACTGGGCTTATCTGGAATTTTCTTTTGCATTTTTTAATGAGGGAGAAATCCCTTCCAAAAGTAGGCTCAAAGGGTACATTGGTTTCTACCCCTTAATATTCAAATCAATATCTTAGAGTCCTACTCAGTTTGAAACATCTAATTGCCTGTCCTGAGGAAGAAGCAAGCCAAATGAGATAACAGTATAAGGTGGTAAAAGAATCGGACAATGGGAAACAGCAGCAAAAACCAAAATCATATTAGAACTCAAGGTAGCAGAACTGGAAATTCATTAGACAGATTGTGAAGGTTGAGATACTCAAAGCATGGAAGGTTTTGAGAATCTTGAATATTCTTTTGTAAAAACACTATGGAAGCAATTCAATGGGAAGGACTCAGTTCTCCAGAGTCTGCAGTGGGAACAGGGATTTGCTCTGACCTTCCTGATTAAATTCAATCTGAAATTTTGGCCAGGAGAATTAAGAATTCAGAGTCAAAATGGACAAAATCTGTTTCATCAATCGACAGGTGTCAGCAGTCAGAAAGGCAAATTGAGATGCCAAAGGTGAGGAGGGTGCTCCATGAAGCTCCCATGGGTGGGGAGATCTATGAACAGGACAAAGGCTAAAGCAGTCAGGGATGGCAGTACTGGGGTGTCTGCCTGCTGAAAACTGACAAATGGGGTTCTTGCCAGCCAGAGGCTCTGACTCACAGAAACTTGAGAGTTCCTGTGAGCCATAGCCAGGCAGAAAGGATTATATACACACTCAAAAGGTTTTAGTGTGTGATATGTTAATCTCGATATTGGGGATTGGGCTGATGTTGGGATGAATCTGTTAGAAAACATTCCCAAACACACCACATCTGTTCCAATGGATAAACTGCCATCCAGAGATGACAACAGTATTTATGGAACTTCCCACTTGCAGATGGCTGAGATAAGCAAAAAAGAGGCATGTCCCTGACCCCTAGATGCTTACAGTCAAATGAAGTGTCTGAGGAGGAAATGTACCTGCTGTCGTACCAGCACTGTGACAAAGGGGAGCAGGTGAAGTGTGGGGGTTGTGGGAGCAAGAATCAAGTCCTACAGGGCCTTTGTAGGTCTGGGGGCATATCTTATTTTTATTTTTTTGAAGATTTATTTATGCATACAAGAACTGGGGTGTAGGACAGAGGTACAGGGAGTGAGAGGGTTCACCAGAGACAGAGTAGGGAACAGAACAGGCAGATTGACAGAAATACACTGCTGAGGGGAGCAGCGGGTGAGTCAGGAGAGGTCTGCTGCACCATGTGGGTCAGCTCCCTGACCAGGGATCGAACTCATGCTGCAGTGGCTGGCGATAACTTGATAGTGGTGAGACTTTCACCCCTGTGCCAATAGGGAGGCCCTAGAATCTCTGTTGTGTTATGGTGACTGCATGTGCGATCTTCCAGGACCTCAGAATTTCTGAATATTTTGACATTTTGGCGTCCAAAGTTGCTGCTGCTTATCTTTGTGAAAGCAGAGAAAGGTGCATGAGATGTATGCATTGTGTAGCCAGGAATGGTCTGCCTCTCAGAGAAGCATGGATTTGGGGATTTTAATCCCTGGATTTTCTGGTGCACCCAGAATTTACTGGTAA